GCTACACTGTTACAAGTATCCATCTCCTTTATTGCGCTGTTAAACTTTCGAAAGAAAGTGAAATTGAAAGACTACTCAAAGAGTGCAAAATGCAGCCAGATGACGCGGTTTCTGGTCAGCAGATTGCCAGATCTTGTTGTGATCTGTTAAACCTCACCAAAAGGCTAAAATTCGATATGGTGACATGGCATGGAAAAGTCATGTCTTAGTATTTGAAACGAAAAGTGCTGTTGGACATCGCATAGTGACAGGTAGGGCTGCAGCCGTGCTACGTTTCGAAGGCTCGGCTTTGCCATTGGGATAGCCATTCCCTCTGCGATTCGTTATGCGTTTCGGCAGTTAATTAATTGGCACTAGCATATGCCAGGGAGTCAAACTCGCCACCGTTTTACTTCTAGGTAATCCTCGGAGGAGGAAATCATCGACAACTTTTGCCAAGAATGTTTGCTCCTTACATGTACTACCACTTGGAATATTTTCAAGGGCCGCCAGCTCTCATGGAGAGCGGATGCGGGCGGGTTTCTGATTTCTGATTTCTTGAGAAGAAAATAAGATATGAAGCACTGCACCTGTCACTTTATTGGCGCTCGACATGCGCGTGAACTTTTTTAGGTTCTTGAAGAAGCTTGTCTAAAACAAGGTTTCGAAATATCTGGTCATCAACTAAGGCATCAGAATCGTTTGCTTGATTTATCGTTACCTGTGCGCCTCAGTGATCTGCCCAATAATGCGACTGTTGAACTGATACCAAGCACCCGCGGGAGTATATCTACAGAAGCGCAGATTGCTTTGCAGGTTACTCTGTGTACATATATTTAAATCTCTACTAATGTGATAAGCGACAAAAAATATTATTCTGACTTGTAATTACCACCATTGTGCGGACATGGAGCCGTCTTTGTAATCGCACTTCTCACTGACCCTTCTTTTTTTGTGCACCTCTCGCTTCCAGTTTGTATCAGTTGTTTTCTCCAGAACTGCCTCTACTGATGTTATTGGAGTTGGCGTCTTTCACACTGTCACAGTACTCAGTTCCTGCGCAAAGAGTGGCAGCTGCGTGAACACTTTGGAAGTTGAGCGTAATTTTCGGTTTTGGCAGCTATTGAGAAACGTAGTGAGCATGCCTAGCTGCTTTTTTTCCGAATAGGGCTAACGATAGTCTCAAAATGTACTGCTGATAGTGAACAGGAGATCGATCGTATGAGATTTATTGAAAAAATAACGGAATAACGTTTCTTTATTTGATTGCGAAAATTTCACACGCCCTATTAAGGGTAGCATTAGGTCCTCCTGCTGCTCTGTTATATCTCTTTCTTCCTTCCCTTACTTCGGCGTCCTACTAAATTTGCGTGGGATCGCCCCGTATACTTTTATGCTTAGATTTCTTTGCTAGTTGTCAGTCAGCAAGGGAGGCGTTTCTGTTTGTTTTCGAACTGTCGGAAGAGTTCTATCAAAATTTTCAGGAAGTTTATTTTCCGCAACCCTTCCTTCTATTCCTTCTTATTTCTCCTGTCTTGGATCTTCCCTCGCCTCCCCCTCCCCTCTTCCTCCGCTCCCTTTCTTGCGCTCGTCCATTCTGCCATAAAGTTAAGTGAATAAATTCTGCAGAATATGTGCTGGAGGGTGTTTTTTCGGGCACAGTATTTTTATTTCGTACTCCAGCTTAAGCGTGGCAATTTTGAGGAATTACTAGAGCGATTGTTTTTCTTTCAATGTAAAAAATGAAGCCTTAGTGCATACTGTTCGATTTTTCAGCTCGCCGATGGATCACGTTTCATTGGAACTTTTTCAAACAAAACAAATTTGTTGGATATTCTTCAGAAATTTTCGAAAGAATCAGGAACTGACCTGGTGAAATATAGTGACGGCCGTATCCCATCCTGCACCTATATGAACAGAGAGGTTTTTACTTTTCGTTGTTGCTAGCGAAAATAATCTTGATTTACTAACTGGACATCAACTACATGTTTTAAGGTCTTGAACGAACATGTGGAAGAGTGACAAAAAGACTGACGCATGATCTACAGTAATTCTTGCAAAGTAGTGTTATTTAAAACTGTTAAGAGGCAGGCGATGTCCTTGGTAAACCGTCTCCTAAAATTGAAGCATTGGAGAAATCGTTCTTCGTTCAGAG